CAGCACTGCAGCCAGCTTTGCTACCCCTTCTTATCACCAGACTTCATGTTCAACATCCTCTGTACAGCGGCCCTTTGAGGCCAAAGAGGTCTCCCTCCAATACTTACAACACATCCTTCTTCTCTTAGCACCTTCACAGCCCAAATTTCAGTTTCTAAGTGATTTCTGTGTTAAAATTGATGGCTCTTCCACCCTCCAATTTTTGCCCCACGATGCAACACAAAGAACCTCCATAAGGCCCACTGTACTTCTGTCATGCACACCATCATTCTGGCATGTGTGACTAAGATATACTGATGCCTGACTATCACAATCTGTCTGCCTTCACAATGATGGAGCTCATTTACTCCCTGCCAAATCCCACTCTCCTGGCCCCCTCCACCCCATAGTGTTCAGTCACATATCCAGCCTCTGTTGGCGCCTGATAAAATGCTTTCAAGGTGCTGAGCCTGTCTCATATCAAAAGGGGCCTTTTCACTTTGAGCAGGCCTACTCTTGGTACCATGATCACCTACAATCTTGTATGGTTCCCTGGCACTGCATATTGTTGAATGAACATTCCTACACAGCACCTTCTCCCATCCTGGGACTCTGAGGCAGGCAGCTAGTCTGTGATATGCTCTTCAAAATCAAACACTTTTATTCTGGGGGACTCTCCTCAAGTGAGGAGCATCCTCCTATCTTACAAGGGTCAATGATGTTCAAGGTTTGCAGCACAAGAAAGATACTCACAGACCATTCCTCAAGGTTTCAGGTCAAGGTCTCTAAATTTCTTATGGGCAAGATTCTGGTTGTTCCCAGATGCCCAGGCAGAGATGATGTTTCCAAGAGAACCAAAGAGCTATTGCTGCCTCTAAAACATACATACTGCCACAGATGGAAAACATCCTTCCAGTTCATGGTCACAGACATGCAACAACTAATAGCCACTCTCTGGAGAAAATGTTAGGACACAACCAGTAATACACATTCACTAGGCTTTTGAGAAATGAGCTATGAAAATATCAACCTGACATTGCTTCCCCAAACCAATGGATCTTTCTATATATGTTGTATCAATCTAAGTTAGGTAAGAGGGCTATTACTTGACACCAATTCTGAAGACTTCAGCACATTTCTACCTAGTTTGTTACAATTGGGCCCTGTCTCCACATAAAACCAGTCTTCCTATCAGGACTGTAAAATGTCCAAACATCCATGAAGAGTACTGAGGCTGAATTAACACTCTGCATTGGTGGGCCACCTTCAGAGTACATCCGAAAGCTCTGTTAGGCTGGTATTTATTGTATTTCTTCCATCTATATTTGGGCGAGAAAGTATCTTAGAGTTCCTAATCGCAAAAGAGCAATCATCGTGGCTCACTCTGTATTTGAATAAAAAAGACTACAAACTAAGAAAGAGGGTTTTGAGCATGGTAGTATTCACCTCAATTTATAAAGCGCTTTGCTGCTTCCAAACACTTTATGTTACTTCATAGAATGTTGAGATCACCTATAAAATGGTTTAAATCGTTTTACAAATGAGGAAGGCTCAAAGATCAGGTAGCTTACTGATGGTCAAAGAACTACCAGGAAACCCTACAATGCAGGACCCTGGAGTTCTGAGCAGCTGGTCTAACCCACATTCCTCACACAGTGTCACAAACGGAGGCCAGGTAGCCTGGGAGAGAAAGAAATAAGTAATGCAGCAAAGTAAGAAGTGGCCAGGAGCAGCGGCTCACATCTGTAATCTCAGCACTTTGGGACGTCAAAACAGGTGGATCACCTGAGGTCAGGAGTTCGAGACCAGCCTGGCCAACATGGTGAAATCCCATCTCTACTAAAAATACAAAAATTAGCCAGGCATGGTCATGGTGGCAGGCACCTGTATTTCAGCTCCTCGGGAGGCTGAGTCAGGAGTATCACTTGAACCCAGGAGGCAGAGGTTGTAATGAACCAAGATCGTGCCATTGCACTCCAGCTTGGGTGACCAAAGGAGACTGTGTCTCCAAACAAACAATAAACAAAAAGAAGGGAGAAAGGGGATGAATTAATGAAAGGTAACATATCAAGTGTTAGCAGCATATGAGACATATAACTTAATGCCCAAGAAAAATGAGAATGTTGGAGAAGAGTACCTTGTTCTAGTTTTTGGGGTTTTCTTTTTTGAGACGGAGTCTTGTTCTGTCCCCACGCTGGACTGCAGTAACGCAATCTTGGCTCACTGCAACCTCCAACTCCCGGGTTCAAGTGATTCTCCTGCCTAACCTCCCAGGGTTTTTTTTCTTTCAGTTGACCCACTTCAAAAGATGTATAGGAGAGGTGGGCACACTGGCTCTTACCTGTAAGCCCAGCCACTAAGGGGGCTGAGGTGGGAGAATCACTTGAGCCCAGTTGTTTAAAACCAGCTGGGTCGCCGGGGACCTGTAATCCCAAGCACTTTGGGAGGCTGAGGGGGGCAGATCACAAGGTCAGGAGCTCAAGACCAGCCTGGCCAATATGGTGAAACCCCATCTCTGCTAAAAATACAAAAAAATAAAAATAAATAGCCAGGCTTGGTGCCGCATGCCTATAATTCCAGCTACTGGGGAGGCTTAGTCAGGGGAAATTGCTTGAACCCGGAAGTCAGAGTTTGCAGTGAGTTGAGATTGTGCCACTTCACTCCAGCCAGGGTGACAGAGCAAGACTCCGACTCAAAAATAATAATAAATAAAACCAGCTGGGTCAACGAAAACCCTATCTCTAAAAATATAAATTACCCAGTTGTGGTGGCACATACCTACAGTGCCAGCTATTTGGGAAGCTGAGGTGGAAGGATCACTTGAGCCCAGGAGTTCAAGGCTATAGTGAACTATGGCCATGTCACTACACTCAAGGCCTGGGAGACAAAGTAAGATTCCTGTCTCTTAATTAAAGCATTATTTAGACAACAAAAGGAAGCAGAAAATTAATAAACACACACAAAAAAACTAAAATTCAAAAAAAAAAAAAAAACCCTCCAATTCCAAAAGAGCTTTGTTCCAGTCTTACCAGAGGGCTTTTAGGACAGAAATGGGGCAGCACTGTTCTCACCATCAATGACAAAATAGAACAATTGTGGCAGGCTGCTTTATGTTAAAGCAAAAAAAATCTTTTAAAATTAAATGTAAGCAGCCGGGCTCCGTGGCTCACTCCTGTAATCCCAACACCTTGGGAGGCCAAAGCGGGTGGATCTAGAAGTCAAGAGATAGAGACCATCCTGGCTAACACACTGAAGCCCTGTATCTACTAAAAATACAAACAAATAGCTGAGCCTTTGAAGATGATGTGGGTGGAACAACAACAACAAAAAATAGCCAGGTGCGGTGGCACACGCCTGTAGTCCCAGCAGGGCTTGAGGCAGGAGAATCACTTGAACCTAGGAGGTGGAAGTTGCAGTTAGCCAAGCAAGCGCTACTGCACTCCGGCCTGGGTAACAGAATAAGACTCCATCTCAAATAAAAAAAAAAAAAAAAAAAACAGGCTGGCGTTATGGCTTATGCCTGTAATCCCAGCATTTTGGGAGGCCAAACTGGGTGGATCACCTGAGATCAAGAGTTGAGACCAGCCTGACCAACATGGAGAAGTCCCATCTCTACTAAAAATAAAAAATTAGCTGGGCGTGGTGGCGCATACCTGTAATCCCAGCTACTCAAGAGGCTGAGGCAGAAGAATTGCCTGAACCCAGGAGATGGAGGTTATGATGAGCCAAGATCATGCCATTGTACTCCAGCCTGGGCAACAAGACCAAAACTCCATCTCAAAAAAAAAAAAAAAAAAAAGGTCCTGGCACAGTGGCTCATGCCTATAATCCCAGCACTTTGGGAGGCTGAGGTGGGCAGATCACCTGAGGTCAGGAGTTCATGACCAACCTCGGCCAACATCGTAAAACCCCATCTCTACTAAAAATACAAAAATTAGCCAGCTGTGGTGGCGCATTCCCGTAATCCCAGCTACTGGGGAGGCTGAAGAGGGAGAATTCCTTAAACCCAGGGGAGGCTGGCACAGTGGCTCACTGCTGTAATCCCAGCACTTTGGGAGCCCGGGGCGGGTGGATCACCTTAGGTCAGGAGTCCGAGACCAGCATGGTGAAACCCCATCTCTATTTAATACAAAAAATTAGCTGAGCATGGTGGCACATGCCTGTAATCCCAGCTACTTGGGAGGCTGAGGCAGGAAAATCACTTGAACTCAGGAGGCAGAGGTTGCAGCGAGTTGAGATCATGTCATGGCACTGGGTGACAGAATGAGACTTAGTCTCAAAAAAAAAAAAAAAAAAAAAACGAACAAACTTTTCTGGGCACAGTGGCTCACACCTGTAATCTCAGCACTTTGGGAGGCTGAGGTGGGCAGATCATGAGGTCAAGGGTTGAAAACCAGCCTGGCCAACATAGTGAAATCCCATCTCTACTAAAAATACAAAAAATTAGCCAGGGGTGGTGGTGGGTGCCTGTAATCTTAGTTACTCAGGAGACTGAGGCAGGACAATCGCTTGAACCTGAGAGGCGGAGGCTGCAACGAGCCGAGGTCATGCCACTGCATACCAGCCCGGGCAACAATGCAAAACTCTGTCTCAAAAAAAACCCAAACAAACTTGGACCAAGATGGCAGTATGAGAATGGATTATTCTTTCCAACATTTTTGTTATATTGTATACTGAAACAGCAAAAATCTCTTAGTTCTTTTTTTTTTTTTTTTTTTGAGACGGAGTTTCACTCTT